TGCCCCTGGCATGGGTCCTCATCCTTTCTTTAGAACCCAGTTTTGTGCCTTGTTGGTTTCATTGACCCCTTCTCTCTTCCTAATGAAAGATACAGTTGGAGAACATGCTTCACCTTTATTTTTTCGGTTTTTTGAAACAGGATTTCTGTGTAGCCTTGGCTGTGCTAGAACTCGCTTGTAAACCAGGCTGACCTCAAACTCACAGAGATCCACCTACCTTTGTCCCCCAAATGCTGGGATTAAAGGTGCACATCACCACGGCCCAGCTTGCATTTTTAGATTTTATTTGGTGTGTGTATGTGTGTGGATACACATGCCACAGTGCTATTGTGGGGGTCAGAGGACACTTCTGGTTCTCTCCTCCACTATGTGGGTTCTAAGGGTCAAACTCTAGCTGTCATTGTTGGCAGCAATCACCTTTACCTGTTTAGCCATTTTGTTAGCCTGCCACCCTTTGACTTTTATGTTTACGGGTATTTTGCTTGAATATATAGTTCATGCACCACTTGCATTGTAGTGGCCAAGGAGGCCAGGGGAGGGTATCAGATCCCCAGAGACCAGAGTTACAAACAATTGCAGGCTGCTCTGTGAGTTCTGGGAATTGAACCCAGGTCCTCTGCAAGATCAGCCACCTCTCCACCACCCACCCACCCCATTTTTAAAAAAGGTTTTTATGTATATGAACATTTTACTTTCATGAGTATCTGTCACCACATGTGTGCCTGTACCTGAAAAGGACAGAGAAGATGTTAGATCCCCTGGAACTTAAGTTACAGATGACTGAAGCACCATGCAGATGCTGGGAACCAAATCTGGGCCCTTTGTAAAAGCAGCTGGTGCTCTTAACCCGCCCCCCACACACGAGTTTTTAAAGTTTTATCTGTCCCACTTCCTGTCATGTAGGGCTCCTTTCCCTCTTGTACCTTCAGGTGCCCAGGAATGAAGCAGTTTTGTTGTAGCTGGACGGGAGAAGTCACAGGGGGTGACAGTGATGAACAGAGGGGGAAAGAGCCACAGCTTGCAGGGAAAAGCAGTGAAAGGTACAACGGGAAGGCAGCAGAAAAACAGAATCCCGTGGGCTCTTCAGGTGTTCTTTCTTTCTTTCTGTTTTCTTTCTTTCCGATTTCTTGGAGGGCAGGAAGTGGGCAGAAAGTCACAGCTTGCAGTGATCACAGGCAAAGGAGATGACTTCTTGCCCTCCCTTAAATATAACCTCAGTGACTCCATCCTGCCCTGCTCATCCTTGTTCCTAAATCCGGGAGTACAGAGTAAAACTAATTTCCAAAAGAGACCGAGCTGCCTGCCATTTACTGACTGGATTAGCAACCATCAGGACCAACTAATGAGCACTTATATCCGCCCCTTCAGTCTCCCACTCATTCTGCAAGACTGGAGGAATCAAAGAAGTGAAATGTATGACTAAGCTATGATTAGTTCTTCTGGGACAAACATACAAGAATTTATCAATTCAAAATAGTATTCTCCTTAAATAGTTCTCTAATGCTGCCTTCCCCAGTGCTCAACACATTTTATTTTCCCTTTCTCTGTTCAACACATTTTAAAACCTCCTCTAAGAATTGCCTCAAGGCAGTTTAGAAGTTCCTTATAAACAAAACCTTCCTTTATTGTCACATGTCCTTTGCCAACATTTCTCTCCCACTGTATTCAAAAGTTCAATGCCTTCTGTGGAATGGCATAGGGATATGGAACTACCTTCATGTCGTTTGCTGCTGAAAGAGACAATCACAGGGTCACTGTTCTAGCGCAGACTTCTGTTGCCCAATGTCCAGAGGGAAGCTATGGTGTTGACAGCATCTCGACTGGGTATTTGACACGTGAGGCTGCCCTGAGAGCAGATGAAGTAGGTGTCAGTGCAAGAGCAAGAGAGTGAGGGGGGTGACGGCTGCAAAGGCCTAGCAGCAGAAGGGACCATGCACACTGCTTCAGACAGCTTTCTGCTCTGAGACAAATCACCTGAGGTAAACCAATAGAAAGGGAAGGTTTATTCCAGCTTAGGTTTTCAGCACGTGGTTGCTTGGCCCATTTGCTTTTGAGCCTGTAGCAGACCATCATGGTAGAATAAACTGCTGGCTCACTTTACAGCAGCTGGGAAACAGAGAGGAAGGGGCTGAGTTCTCAATATCCCTTTCAAGGACACATCCCTGCAACCTAAATTCTAACAGTTCCATCCCCCTCCAAAGTACCATCACTTGGGAACCAAGTCTTCACCACATGGCTTTGGAGTACATTTAAGATCCAAACCATGATAGAATCCAAACCATAATAGAATCCAAAAGTCTACAAAGACGAGCATCCAAAGAGCAAACAGAAATAAGACATGAGGTCAGGATACATGAGGCCTTCTGGGCATTTCTGGGTATTGTCTTAATCATCCAGATAACAGGGTGGCATCTATTTTAAGAGATGACTACACAGTTAAGATGCACACTGCTCTTGCAGAGGAAACATGCCCTTCTGTGGCTTTTCAGGGCTCACCCTAACTCCAGCCCCAGGGTAGCATCTCACACACACACACACACACACACACACACACACACACACACACACACACACACACACACACAGAGTTTCTGCCTCATGTTATTAAGTGGTCAAGGCTGGTCACAAAGCCATCCCCCATTGCAGAGATAGGGAAGTCGATCTTTTTGTTTGTTTGGAAGTAGTCTCCCCATGTAGTCCAGGTTGTCCTCACACTCACAGTCATTCTGTCTCTGCCTCCCAAGCGCTGGGACTGCAGTTGTGTGCCAACATACCCAGTGTAGGCCCTGACTGATAGCGCAGTGACAAAGGATCTGCGAGCATTCAACACTCACTCCATTTTAAACAGAGCTGGGCCGTGGGGCCTCACACCTTTAGTCCTAGCACACAGGAGGCAGAGGCAGGTAGATCTCTGTGAGTTCGGGGCCAGCCTGGTCTACAGAGCGAGTTCCAGGACAGACTCCAAAGCAATACAGAGAAACCCTGTCTCGAAAAACCAAAAATAAACACAAAAAAGATTCTAAACAGCAGTAGAAACAGCACCAGAATGGGATTGGTTTGAGATTTGGAGAGTTCTCTGGAAACAATATGGAGGGGGGAGGCCTATAGACCAGTGTGTTTGTGAATTACCTGCATAGGGAGATGAGAGATGATGACAGCTTGGACCAGGAGGGTGAGGTGAAGGTGAGGTGGAGATGAGGAGGTGGAGTGGCTATTAAAGGGTTAAAATGATCTGGGCTTGGAGGGGGTCAATAAAGGAGGGAAGGGAAGGGAAAGCTTAAGGGTATCACCCAGGGTCACAGAGCTAGCAGAGGAAGGGAAGGAAAAAAACAGGAAGAAAGTCGGGTTTGGTAAAGGGAGATCATAAATTTGGGTTTTTGGTGATAAGGACTGTGGAACAGGTGACAGGATCATTTAAATCAGTGGCTTAGAGGGACCCTTGGTGGTGAAACACTTTGGACTCATTTTATTCTACATTCAATGATTAAGATTTGTTTTGGGGTGATTACTCACTGGGTAAGGTGCTTGGACGAAAGCGTCAGAACCTAAGTTTGAATCCACAGACCTCACATAAGCTGGGCATAATGATGTGAGTGTCTATAATCACATTTCTCCTGCAATGGATAGAGTCCCAGAAGCTTGTGGGCCAGCTATCTTGGCATACAAATCTATGAAATCCCATCTTTAGCAAGGTAAAGGGTTAAGTCGGGCATTGTGGTGCATGTTTTTTAATCCTACTCTGAGGCAGAGTGAGTTTGAAGCAATCCAGAACTTACATACAGAGTTCCAGACGAGCCAGGGCTACAAGTAAGACCCAGTCCCCAAAACAAAACAAAGATTTTAACAACTGCAATGTTAACAAGACGAGCTCTACCTTACTTGTGATGAACCAGGGAATGCTCTGCGTATAGAGAAACCCATCTTGGATTAACCAAGAGATGATATATGTGAAATGCTGGGGAAGTTAAAGGGAACACAATGCAGGCTTGGAGCCAAAGATGATAAGGATAATAATAGTTATTGCTTATCTGGTGTTTACTGTCGCCTGGGCGTCATTTAATACACCTTACAAACACAAACTCTTTCAATCCTTACTATTATTACCCACATTTTATAGATGAGGAAATCAAGGCCCAGAGAAGTTAAGTAACTTGCCTGTGATGTCACAACTAGGATTTGCACTGGAGCCAGCTGTGTCAAGACTGTGTTATTATCCCCGCAACAGAACCTGGGCTATGAGTACAGGACATGAGGAGGCAGCTCGGGGATGGGTGCTACACCGTGAGGGAATGTGGGCTGTGAGCACCACGTCCTGTTTACCTGAGTCAGAAGTCATGCCGAACTGCTTCCTTTCAACCATCATACTGTGTGGGTGTCCAAGCCTGGATACTCTGGAAGGAAAAGATTCCCAGCATTCCTAAGGCCCTGCTCCTGGAATCTAAGTCTCTCCTTAGGCTGAGATGTTCCTGGAACTGAACTCTTTGGGGGAGGATGAAATTTAGGGAGTCTTACGAGAACCTAAGAGGTCATGTATAAAAAGAGAGGCGAGAGCTAAATGCATTGTGACTGGGCAGAATCCAAACATTGAGGAACCCAATTGAAACTGGTTAGAACCAACAGTAAACCTGGCATATGTAGCCTGTTTGTGGAGGGGTTGAGAAAGAGTGTATGTGACAAATAGGCTAAGAGGGCCCTTGAGACTTGGGCCAGTGACTGTGTGCAAGAGGAGACCTGGGGATCTATCTGTTCCAAGTTTAAATGAAAGGTGTTTTGCTGGGGTTGAGACGTTCGCCAAGGGGGCAGTAGGTGGTGCGTGTCCCCATTCTCCCCGGGCAGTTCAGGCAACCTGTGGACATTCACCCCGCTACACCCCCACTCGCATTCCCATCTTCGCGCCTCTTCCGCCCCAACGCGTGCCATGGAAGGGAGCGGCCGATCTGGTGTGTGACACCTCAAGGGTGGGGCCTCACTATTAAAAGGGGACAGAGGCGGCGGCGCCGGCCCCAGGCCCCAGCCCAGGCCCAAGGAGGGCCGCTCGTTCTGTCTTCTAGCCTCCGCAGGATCGACGTCCTCGGGTCACAGCGGTCATGATGCAGCTCCTGATGAGGGTGCCTTCTCTTCCCGAGCGGGGTGAGCTGGACTGCAACATCTGCTACCGACCCTTCAACCTCGGGGCCCGCGCGCCCCGCCGCCTGCCCGGCACGGCGCGCGCCCGCTGCGGCCACACACTGTGCACCGCTTGCCTGCGCGAGCTGGCGGCGCGGGGAGACGGCAGCCGCACGGCCGCGCGCGTGGTGCGCCTGCGCCGCGCTGTCACGTGCCCATTCTGCCGCGCGCCTTCCCCGCTCCCGCGCGGCGGCGTCGGGGAGATCGCGCTAGACCCCGACTTATGGTCACGGTTGGAGGAAAAGGCGCGGGCTGAGCGTGAACGAGACCCGATGGGGAGCCCGGCCAAGGAAAGCGCAGACAACGGAGAGGACGACGACGGGGAAGACGACCGCGAGAAGGGGGCGGGACCTACAAGTGCGGGTTGGCGCGCGCTACGCCGAATCGTGGACAGGGTCCTGGCGCCGGCGCGCCGCTTGCGGCGTCCGTTGCCTAGCAATGGTGAGGGGCCGCCTAGGGAGGATATTGGGCCCAGAGCGCCGAAGAATACTAGGTTAGGTTGCATCCTATTGCCACTAACGCTTCTTTTTCCCTTCAGTGCTCTACTGTCCAGAGGTCAAGGACATTGCCCACATGACCCGCTGCACGCTGTAACGGAAGAACCTGGAAGCTATGGCAGAAGGCAGGTGGGAGCAGCATCTTCGGGTGTGCACTACTTCAAAGGCTTGATGTGAAGACTGCCCCCTCTGATGCTGGAATTGGTACGTTCCTGATGGAGTTGAACAGAAAGTACCCTAGGTGGTGTGAACTTTGAGTGATGGAGGCTCCTAAGACTGTGTCGGCTTTACATTGTGTTTGGATGGAAGTGGCCAAGGGATAATAGAAACAAATCGTACCATAATGTGGGAAGAAAACATACAAAGCTATATAGCTTTGGTGTTCATTCAGGGAGACTATGGTTTAAGAAACAGATCCTACTTTAGCAGTGGCCAATGGTTGGAAATGTTTACTTAAAAAGATTCTGGACTGGGATAAGCTAATTATCACGCCAGTCCCACTTAACCTGGTTATGTGTGTATGCTGGCATGCTATCTTCCCACTCTTGGTTCCTTGTTCCAGAAATTACTGAGTTGCCTCCCTGATTATGATTGGAAGCTTGCATACACAGTCTCCCTTCAGCATAAGGCAGGTATGAAAATGTCCAAGGGGCGTTCATGTGAGGCCTTAATTAAGGTTTATCAGGGATGGGTAAGCCATTTGATAAAGGAGTCAAAATTTAACCTCTATCTGTTATCTTTACAGACTGTAACAATACTGAAAAAAAAAAGATGCTCACATAATTTTAAGTTTGTGTCCCATAATGGGACATTGCTTATTATATGTGATTAGTTCTGTTTTAAAGTCCTGTAAATATCTTACTATAGACTTAACAAGACCAGCAATGTTGGTCTCACAGCTTGCTAGAAGTGCAGAATTTCAGGACCCCAGTCCACATTCCCTGACTACATTTTCAGAATCCCAGGCAATCCATGTGTAAGAAGCATGGTTCGTTCAGTTCTTAGTCACCCTGGGATGTCATCATCATCATCTGTGGGTGGAACCATTAAAACACTAATGACACCCTACTTTAAAGTGACATTCTATTGTGAAAGAAAACATGTTTTTTCTGAGCTAAAAATGTGAATTTACAATAGTCCTCAGTTTTCAGAGGTCTTTAAGAACTTTTTATTGACAAATAGTGTCTAGTTATAGAGTGTAAACCTCCACTTTAAAAAATATTTTGTCGTTTTTCTGTCCTTAATTTCATCTTAATTCCCTTTTGGAGGCCAGTGTGTAATGTGCCTTATTGTCATATTTCTGTATGTGTTGTCAAAATGAATGCTATATTTGTTTTGTAATGTTTTGAGTGTTTCCAGAGCCAATAGCAGTGTTAATGTATAATATGTACTCTAAAAATGTTTGCTGAATAATCTGTTTTTAATGTTATATAAAAATAAAGTATCTGGGCTCACTCAACCTGTGAAAGGTTGTTACTGAATAATACAGAGTATTGTCCAGCAGTTTAAATGACACAAGTGACACCAGACTGACCCTTCTTTAAAACAAACAAAACAAGATTGAAATAAAAAATGCCTTCTGCTCCATAGAGGAATTGAACCCGTGGAGCTGTAGTGACCTCTACTGACTCTTGGGGAAGCAGTGACTTGCATGTGGAAAGCAGTTTCCAGTGTTAGGCACCTCTCCTTCCTTCGTGTCAGGAAGCCTGCTCCCTCTCTGCTTGCGACTTAGCATTGTGGTCTCAGTGATCCTGCTTCTCACCAACTCTACACTGAGCGCATGATGTGATTGGCATTGGGAAAAGGTCTTTCGTTGATTCGTGAGTGGAAGCGGTGGTGGCTCACACCTTTCATCCCAGCACTTGGGAGACAGAGGAAAGTGGATCTCCCTAAATTCCAGGTCAGCCTTGGCTACAAAGGAAGTTCCAGGACAGCCAGGGCTACAGAGAGAAATCCTGTCTCCAAAAAAAAAAAAGGGGGGGTTACTAAGATGAAATAGTACAAAGCAATAATTTTCCTTGCTTTACCTCCACACAAGAATTCCCTCTCCCCAGGCACAAATGACAGCAGACAGAAAGGAAAGTATAATTTATATGTACAACCGATAACCTGATACAGAAGAGGGATTGGGACAGACCAGGAGTGGGAGCAGAGACTGGGAAAGGGGCAGCAAGGAGGAAGTGGGGGTTCCCCATGCAAACTGCCACTCCCTAGCCCCTCCGTGGAGGGGGATGTGCCCATATCTCCCTAGCCTGTTACCCACTATGTTGCTCTGGTTCCACAGGCAAGGTAGTCTCCTGAGTAGGCCCCTGACATGACCTACTCAAATTTAGTCTGTATCCAGGCCTTGAGGAGGGAGGATTTAAGTCCCCCAGAAACCTGAGCCCCAGAGTGGAGATCTGCCCCCATGTCTGGCCTTCTGAATTCTCTCCCACCCTTTCTAGTTTTCCTAGAACAGGTCGAGGAGCTCCTCTTTGGCTTGAGGGAGTATCACCCAACCGTTACTCTTTGTAGGGGTGGTCCTTGGTCCCTAGGAAGGAGAAAGGTTCCTAATACAAGATGCTGGTACACAGGAGGTGACTGAGCCACTGAACAACGCCTTTATTCTGAGGCGGAACAGCATCAACTCCCTCTCTCGTAGCTGCTGCGCCCTCCATCTGGAAGAGGCAGGGAAGGTGACATGCTGCCCCGCCTCTCCCCTTTTCTCCCAGTGCGATTTCACCCCTCTGTGATGCAGTCCTGCTCTGTTGCTCTTCTCCTCACAAAAGGTCCTAAGGCCAGGCAAGGGTATCCCCCACTTTTGCAGGAGGCGGAGGTGATACTGCAGGAAAGGACTGGGAGGCTCCCCTCCCCCTCCCGACAATCATTTAGTGGGAAGCGGTGTATTTGGTGGTGGGGAGTAAGGGTACTTAGAAGACCCTGCTAACCATCTCCCATCCAGACCTCTTCACACCAGCACAGTCTTCAGGGTTTGGTGGGAAAGGTGTGTGGAGGCGGAGAGAGATAGGGTCCTTCTTGAGGGAGAAGCTATAGAGGGGCAAAGGGGCTCCTAGCCCAGTGGTGGCCCAAGGGGTGGGGAAGGTGGAGGGCTGGCAGCAGGCCCCAAGGCCTGGGATGTGGGTCGGCTCCGGGGTCGGGGCCTAGGTGGAGGGCAGGCCTGAGATCCAGTCAGTCGTCTATACAAATCACCTCCCCTGCTCGGGGCTCCTTCCGGTCCAGCCCGTCTGACACCAACGCCCCCATCATTTCCTTCTCTTTCTTCACCAGTACTGGAGGGCCGTTGGTGGTGGCTGTTTGGGGAGACAAGTAAGCAAAGGTTAGTTCCTACATCCCAAATATCACTCCCTGTGATAGTCTGTCCTTGCTGCCGCGTCATTTCCTGCCACTGATTTTTCTTATAAATGTAGAAGGGCTGGGTGAACTCCTCCTCCTCAGACTCCTCTTGTGCCGCCATGTGACAGGGCCTGACTTTCTAGCCTTTCTGAATTCACATTCACTTCTCCTTGAGGAAATCAGGTAGAGGAAGTTTCAAGTGGCAGATAGGAAGTCACACAATGGGTGAGGCGTTGGGTTTCTTTTTTCTTTTCTTTCTTTTTTTTTGAGATAGGGTCTCTCTACATAGTCCTCACTGTCCTGGAACTCGAACTCACAGATATCCACCTGCTTCTCCCCACCAAGTTCTGGGATTAAATGCATGTGTCTCCACACCTGGATGTGTGACAGCATCTCCCACTGCACAGGCTGGCCTGAGGACACCCTGGAGTTTTGTCTCGGGGATGGAAGGAACACAAAGGAATGGATATGACAAGTCCAGAGCAACTCTTCCCTCAAACAGTGGACACTTACAAGGAAGAGATGGGTTTAAAGCAGGACAAGGGAGTCAAGCAGGGACAGAGTTTGGCAAAGATGAGGGAGAAGCAGAAGTCAGAACCGCCATCTGACCTGTGATGAAGGACCCTGCAGGCATCTGGCTGTAATTGGCGCCTGCGGCGGCCAGGGCCCCTACGGGTGCGGCGCTGAAGGCTGCCCCGTACCCCGGTGGTGTGGCGTAAGGACCCGGGGGAAAGGCCTGGAATAGAGCAAGCTGAGGTTAGTTAGTCCACAGTCTAGAGGAGAAGAATCATGCTCCAGAATTACTAGAGGTTGTGGTAGAGGCGGGGACAGCCAAGGTGAAGACTGTTGTAGCGGGCTGCTTCCCCATTATTTGTAGGATTCTGATGGAGTGTGTGTGTGTGTGTGTGTGTGTGTGTTTCTGATGGAGTGTGTGTGTGTGTTTCTGATGGAGTGTGTGTGTGTGTGTTTCTGATGGAGTGTGTGTGTGTTTCTGATGGAGTGTGTGTGTGTGTGTTTCTGATGGAGTGTGTGTGTGTGTGTGTGTGTGTGTGTGTGTGTGTGTGTGTGTGTGTGTGTGTAGGGGGCACTGACAGGAAAACAAGTTAGGGGAAAAGAGGGTTACCGGTGTGGGGTGAGACTCTGTGCCCTTGCTGGCCAGCCGGCTGAGGATACTGCGCTCGGACATCTGAAGGCGGGCTGCGATGGGGGGTATTCGGGACAGCGTGGCTGGCAGACGGGTCACATCCGCCTTCATGTCGCTCAGCAACTCCTCCAGCTGGTTCAGAACTGGGGCCAGGGCCACAGAGAAAGAAGAGCAAGAGAAAGATGCAAAGAGAGATGGAGCCAGAAAAAGTGACAGTCAGATGGACAAGTACAGTTAAAGAGAGGACACAGACATCAAAGGACCACAGACCAAGTGACAAACATGACAGAAAGTATACAGAAAAGAGTGATTCAGAGAAGGAAAGTGTCAGGCCAGATACCACATAGGACAGATGGAAATAAAGAAGAAAAAAGAATATGGAAAAAAGGTAGGGAAGACATTGGAAGACATGGGGTCGGGGTTGTCAGAACATCCCATACTGGAAAGGGAGGCACAGGGTTGGGGATGGTGGGGAGGAAATAGGCAGCATGGGGGGGTAGTATGACTTAAGGAATCAGTTTTAATACTCAATGGAGGGGGTTAAAGGGTCAGCATTACATAAAAGGACCTAAGGCAGGCAGGGGTCAGTCATTATGCCAGGTTCTGATGGGGGTTAAAATGACGCTGGGACTTAACCTATGATTATTAAGGTGTGGGAGAAGGGGTTGAGGGTCAAAGGAAAGTTTTATGGGGTACGGTCAAGGGTGGGTGGGCAGGAATGTTCACATCACAGGGTGAATGAGGTGGTAAGAAAGTGATTGGTGGGACCAAAGCTAAGGACACTTGTGATTTACACACACAGACTAAAACTATCGGGATCGTGGCAGGTACAACAGTGTGGTCACCCTTGCAGGGATGAGGTCCCAGTGATGAGTTAACTGGTGCCTACTGGACACTGATGTCAGGTAGGGAGAATGGGCTTGGGGTGCCAGCTAGGTCAGAGGTGGGGTTAGAGACCAGAGGGGAGTAGTTCAGAGGGTAGAGGGGTAAGGGGGCGAGGGGTGTGGGAAGATTTTGAAGGGTGCGGGGTGAAGACTTACGCAGCGTTGTGGGCCCTCCCCCGCGCGGGGCCACCGCGGCCCTTACCCTTGTGCAGGACGGCGTTGGCTGGCTTGTTCCCTGCCAGCGACTCCTTGGAGAGGTGCTGGTGGCTCTCGGCTAGGCACTCGGCCTCGGCAAAGCGGGCGTGGAGGGCCATGGCGGGGTGCGCCGGCTCCTGTGACAGGTTCAGGTAGGCCGCCCGCCGCAGCTGCTCCTCGATCACCAGCGCCTGCTCCAGGAGCTAAGGGCACAGGACAGGGGTGAACACAGGTGAACAGAAGGACAGGACATAGCACTAGGGTCCTACTCTGTCCCCACTCTTGGCCCAGGAAACTCCAGCTCCTCAGTATGTGACCCCAACACCAACTGTGATGCAGAGCAGTTTCCGTTACAAAAGGACACTGGGGTCTTAGCCACAGCTCTCAAGAGCTGACACTCCCTCTAGACACCTTCTGACCCAAGGTCTGCTTCACCCTACCCTTTCCTTTTTCATTCCCACCTTGAACCTCCGGGCCAGGAATTTATTTTTCATCTCCAGGAAGTTCCCCTTATTGGCTTCAGTTTTAAATGGTTCGTTGATAATGGCAAACTGAGCATCATTCTGGATGTCTTGCCACCGGGCATAGCCATGACTGCCAGTGGAGGAAAGGGAACTATCAAGGAATTTAACTGAATGGACTTGACTGTGAACATTTCTTCTTACGGGCCAGATTTTTCCAGAATGTGGCACAAGCCTCCTTGCCCTAAGTATGGACCCTTCTTGGACCTGTAGTTCCCCTCTGCCCTGTTTCTCTCAACCTGACACGTGTCTAGATTATCCAGGAAGCGGAACCTCAATTGAGAAAATACCTAAATAAGATCGGGCTGCAGGCAAACCTATAGGGCATTTTCTTAACTAGTGATTGATGTGGGAGGACCCTGCCCATTGTGGGTGGGGCCACCCTGGACTGGTGGTTCTGGGTGCTTTAAGAAAGCAGGCTGAGCAAACCCAAGCCATGAGGAGCAAGCCAGTAGTCACTCCTCCACAGTCTCTGCATCAGTTCCGGCCTTGAGTTCCTTCCTGCCCTGACTTCCCTGGAAGATGCATTACAAGTTGTAAGATGAAATACACTTTTCCTCCTCAAGTTGCTCTTGGTCATGGTATTTATCACAGCAACAGAAACATGACTGGGACACCTTCCCTCCTAGCTGAGACAACTTTCTTAATCTTGCATGTATACACAAAGGATACAGAACGATCCCAGCCAGAAGCCAATAGTCATGTCTTCGGTGCCAGATCTCATTGAGTTTCCCCGAGGAAATGGCTGCCCTTTCTTCATTCTGCCACAGCGTGTGCAGCTCTGGGAAGAGATGAGCAGAAGCATCAGAGGTTTGTGACCAAATACATCCCAACAGTCGTTTACAGATGGAAAGCTAAGGGATGGCAGAATACTAAGGAACTGTGGGTAGGGTGACAGAGGTAGCTCAGCGGTTAAAAGCACTTGCCTCTCATACAGAGGACCAGAGTTCAATTCCCAGCACCTACATGGTAACTCACAACCATCTGTAACTCCAGTTACGGGGGACCCAGCACCCTACCCTGACCTCTGAGGGTACTGTATACATGTGATACACAAACATACATGCAGGCAAACACTCAGACATAAAATAAATATGAAAAAGTTACATTTAAAATAGTGGGGAAGTGTGGGGCTGGAGAGATGGTTCAGAGGTTAAGAGCACTGGCTGCTCTTGCAGAGGTGCTGAGTTCAATTCCCAGCCTCCACACGGTGGCTCACAGCCATCTGATGCCCTGATATGGCATAAAGTCAATAGAGCACTGATACATAAAATAAAAAATAAGTCTTTAAAAATATTCCATGAAAAAATAGGAAAACATTGTTAGGGGGAAGGAAAAAAGATAATTATGAACAGGCTCACATTAGGATTAAGACAAAAAATTGTATTAGAGTGGAAAGGCTCATTGTCGACCTGCACTATCACTGAAAGTACTTGGAGTCAATGTAGCAGGTGGCCTCAGGCACAATGAGAAGGCCCAGAATGCACAGTGAGGAGCAGGTGACAGACAGCAACTCGCACCTGTGAAACCACCATCTGCAATGTTGAACATGAACCTCGGCTTCTCCACCTTCTCCTCACGGCGCCCATTGGACCGTGGCTCATCTCGAGGAGGCCCAAGTCGAAGCTCCCGCTCTGCTTTTACATCCTCTGCTAGGTCAAACAGGGCAAAGCTCATACCTCAGGCAAGCCTCCTTCTAGGTCCCAGGACTACTTAATACATAAGCCACGCTGGCTCTTCCAACAGCTACCCACCCAAGACCCAGGCATTTGGTTCCCCCAGATTCCACCACCCCTGGTTCCCTCAGGGACTCAGATGTCCAGTCCTTCCACCCATTACCTCTCTTGCCCAAATCCCCTGTTTCCCCCTCTGGTCTGTCCCTGTGTTCCTGTACATCCAATGGTTTCCCGTCCCCCCTTTCTCCTGGTGTTGGCTCTGAGGCTGTGGATAGAGTGAGGAAACAGGAAGGGAGTATGTTACTCATTCCAACTCCAGAAGACAGAACTCCAAAATTCAAATCCCCATCAGCACTAGGATAATCACCCACCAGGCTTCTCTCTGTCTCCTCGGTACCCAGGTTCAGGCTCCACCTCTCCAGGCACCCCAGGTGCTTCATCCTCTAACAGAATCTTCCGTGGTTCTAGTCGTTCTCCAAGTGATGGGGCTGGGCTGGGAGAATCACCCTGGTGGAGGACAGTAGAGTCAAGATGAGCTAAAGAGTTCCTAGGTACCTAGTTACCAAGACCCCTTCAGACCTCCCGCTCCAGCTCCTCAGAGAGGTCCAGGTGTCCACACACCTCTGTCTCCATCTTTTCCCCCATTTTGCTATTCTTCTCTGACTTCTCTTCCAGGTTTTCAGTGTCATCCTTCTCCAGAGGTGTCCTTATGCCATCTCCTTTCTCACTTGGAGCAGGAGTAGCTGTGGGTGAAGGCAGAATGCTATGGTTTGGATATGGCTTAAGTGTTCTCCAAAGTTTCATGTGTTGAAATTTAATGACCAGTGTGAGGTAATAAAATGGTAGAAACTGAGTCTAAGCACAGTATTTACAGTGGGGTTTGGAGGAGATAATCAGAGTTAGATAAGGTCAGGGGTAAAGCCCCCTCCAACTGAATCCTGGAGGCTCTTAAGGAGAGAAGAATATACATGCTTGCATTTCCCCATGCAATATCCTGTGTGACCTCAGGATTCTGCAAGCAAGAAGGTCATACCAGATGTAGCTGTTGGCCTCAAACCTCCAAAACCATGAGCCCAAATAAACCTATTTCCTATATAAAGCTGTTCAAATTCATGCATCTCATTATAATCACACAAACAGCCTAATTTGTTTGAGGGGGCGTGGGAGCAAAGGTTTTCTACCCTGACATCTGACTGCCCTTGTTCCCCCATCATCCTGACTCCCAGTTACCAGGTTTAGAGGTGCAAGGACTGTTGGTTGTAGATGCCTCAGGAGTGGTGGGGGATGTTTTGGTTGGAGAGGAAGCCCTGGAAGAGCGCTTGGAGTCAGCACTGGGGTCAGGCATTAACTCCGGCATTGACCAGCGTCCATTGATATGTTCAAATTCTTGCACCTGGGGAAGGAGGTTTACAGGGACAAGGGTCAGTTCCTGGCACTGGGGTCATAGGAAGCCCTATTCTCCTCTGTATCACACCAGCCAAAGCTAGAACTAAGAGATCAAAGACAGATGAAGGACAGAGACAAACAGCTGGCCAGATGCTTGAGTGAGGAAAAACTAATACCTTCTTCTTGACGAGAGACATGACTCCAATGCGGGTCAACACCTGCTGGCGACTCAGCCCCTCCCGAGGGACCCCATCAGCAAAGGTTTCAGAGCCATCGGCCCCAGGTTCACACAGATGGCGCATGAACAAAGACACATAGGCCCTACAAAGCATGGAGAGAAGGAGGATTGCAAGGTCTTAGGTGGGGAGGGGTTCAAGCAACAAGGGAGATGCAGAGATCACTGACCTCGAAGTTCAACTCCCCAGGTGCTTCCAAGACTCATTTGTATCAGACCCACATCCTAACTCACTCACTGACCTTCCCATCAGCCCCCACATCCTAACTCACTCACTGACCTCCCCATCAGCCCCCCACTGCATCTCCCGGGACTTGGCACTTTGTTCCTGGGCCCCATCAGTCAGTTTTTCATCCTGTTCACCAGTTCCTCCGCCAAGTTATCATGGCCAAGTAAATGTGAGGTCAGGCTAGCCTGGGAGAGGCTAATTCCTCAAACACCCCTCTCATGAGGGACGAGGCCTGGACCCCTTTTTATTCTAGGCTCTGCTGAGGGGAAGTGGGGAAGACTAAGCCCACATCCCAGGAAATAGAGCCTGGACGTGTCATAAGGTAGGGAGGTGGTGATCAGCTGAGTAAGGTCACATCATATGGTAGCCGAGAGGAAGAAAGCAATCCCCAAACAAAGCTCTGAGCCCCTAGTCACCTCACCCCTGAGTCATCCCCACTCACTTGAACTCTTTCTCAGTCTTGCCCCTCAGGTCGCGCACTAGCCACTGTGTGGTGAAGGCATCCTGCGGTGGCATTCCCCAGCGCATCACAGCATTAAGGAAGGCCTTCCGCTGTCGAGTATTGAATCCTAAAACCTGAAGGTGAGGAAAGAGACCGGCCCATGAATGATGAGGAGTCTGCAGACCTTTCTACTGCTGGTGCCCCCTACGCCCACTACCTCCATTTTCTCCTTAGAGATCATGCAAGGGGCCTGTCAAAGTCTCACCTCAATGTTCCCCCCAACTCGAGCCAGCAATGGAGGCAGCGGCTTGTCCTTTTCATTTCGGAGCTGCCTCTTTGACTGTCGACGCCCTAAGGGTAAAGATGACACAGATCAGCAGAGTCAACACCTCCAGTAAGCCTGCAGTCTTCTCTGCACTCATCCCGTAATACCTAAAACTCAGGGCTAGCCTGTGTTATGATGGCCTCTAGTTTTCTTCCAAGCATGTTGTCAGCACTACTACCTAGTAAGGCCAAAGGAAGTCACATTTAAAAATTAATAACAGGGCTGGGTGGTGGTGGCACACGCCTTTAATCCCAGCACATAGGAGGTGGAGGCAGGCAGATCTCTGTGAACTCCAGGCCAGTCTGGCCTACAAAGTGAGTTCCAGGACAGCCAGAGCTGTTACACAGAGAAACCCTATCTTGAAAAACCAAATAAATAAATAAATAAATAAATAAAGATTAATAACAAGTATATGACAGACAATGTTACACATCTGAAAGTAAACTAACATAACCTTCCTGTTAAGTTTTGGCATATGTGTATTTGTATTTTTAGATGAGGTCTGTGTTGCCCAGGCCTCCAGTTCCTGAACTTAAGCAACTCCTGAACAAGTAGCTGGGCCTGCAGGTGTGCATCACCACCCATAACCACCTTTTTTGACCATCTGATGCCACATGGCTATATATTCCAAATATGACCAAAAACAGAAAAAAAAAAATAGTGGGCTTAAAAAAAGCGAGGAAGTGAAAAAGTCAAGACACGACACCACCTTCAGGACGCTCATCAAAGTCCTCATCCTCCTCCTCAGACCCCACCGAGTATTCTGACTGGTTATCTGTGAGGACAAAAAGGGTTCAATGGTCAGCGCTAACCTACTGCGACCCTTCCCCCTTGGATTCTTCCTCTTGGACATTTCTCCACCTCCACCTGGGCCTTTGTCCTGCTAGAGATGCTGCGTCATACATCCACAGCCATCTTTAGTCTGCAGGTACCTCCCACTTTACCACTCTGACTCCTGTCAAAGCTAATCTAAACAGTGGGTCCCAGGGTGTTCACAGGCTCCCTCTGTAGGCCCTAGATAGTTAAATCCCCACAAATCCATCTGGCCTTAGAAAAGTTCCTCTTGGCCCTTCCCCATCACCCGGCCTCATCTCTGCTCTATAGCCTTGGCCTCCAAAGCTCTCTCCATCACATCTTCCCTTCCCATCCCTTGTCAGGGGCAGTCCTCACCTTGATCCTCCTGAGCGGCATCATTGTAGTTAACCTGCTTTCGAACCCGCTTGCCCTTGCCTAGGTTTCGGGCGAGGTCTTCCTGCTGCTGTTCATAGTGATGCCTCAGCAGCTTCTCCCAGTAGTCGGGATCGACATTCTCCTCCTGCTTGATGATCTCTCGCTCGATCTCCTCAATCTGAAAGGCAGCAGAGGGAAGGCTGGCAGCCTCCCTCTCACTAGTCCTCTGGCTGCATTAAAATCCCTCTCCCCTGCACAGGCCAATTCCTGCTGGATACTTCCTGACCTGTCTTCAGGTCCACACAGTTTCTACACACTGCATATTTCTCCTATCACCTCCTCCTTGCAATGTTCTGGCTCCTTCTGCAAATCTCTCCTCTACTTCCCCTTACTTCCTCCCACAGACTCTAGTAGTCAACTACTAGAACTTTCTTTGCCTATGTCTGTCTCCAAAATTCAGTCTCATCTATCAAATGAGAGATTGCTTGCAGTTCACTGTTGCTTTTTCCTGGGGGCCAGGTTAAGAGAATAAATCAAAAGTAAGTGTGTAGAATTTCAAAATTTAGTGAAGGGCACAGCTCTTCAGAGATGGCCTTGGACAGACAGGGTGTGGCCCCAAAGCCTCTCACCTTGTCTTCTTCACGAACAACATACTGTGCCACCTTGAAGGAGCTGAGATATTCATTCATGTTCTGCACGTCAGTATCCTCGGTGGCATCCTGGTTTCGGTCCAGCAGTCGAGCAATGGCTTCGTTGTCATAGTGGATCACACTGCTGTCCTCCTCCTTATTCTCCCCTGGCAGAGACGAGGAACAGAAAGGACTTGAAGCACGAGCCAGAAGCTCAGGCAGTTGAGGCAGGACGGGTGAGATGCTTCACCTCCTCCTCAGTGGGTCCTGAGAGAACGACTGTTCCCCGGGAGCTCATGTCAGGGGTTCTTTGCTGTGTTTGCTTAGGTGGCCAACCCTTCTAAGGATTACTACTACTCAACCTTCACAGGCTGAGAGAAGAAGTGGATTGTTTTGTTTTGTGGTTTTCAGAATAGAGAACAGGGACTACCTTTAGGGAGCTATAGAAAGTTCTCACCCTCATTTTCATCCTTGAAAAGCTCCTCAGTGCCAAATTTGAGGATGTCATCCAGCTCCTGCTTAGACATGGAGCCCGCCTTGGAGCCCAGGCCAGGCCGCACCACCAGATGTGTCAGCATCATCTTTCTCTTAGCCACTTGTGTGATTCGTTCTTCCACAGATGCTCGGGTCACAAACCGGTAAATCATCACTTTGTTGGCCTGGCCAATCCGATGGGCTCTGCTGAAGGCCTACAGGGGCAGAGAGAATGGAGGTCAGTCGGGAGTGGCATAGAGAAGTAGACACACAGTCAGGAAAGGAGGCTGGTAGGGAAAGGCCTTCTCCTCTCTCCTAAGACGCACACCTGAGCAGGACAACCTTCTCCATGAACCCATGTCAACTTGATGAATGTTATAAGGGATTCAGAATGCAGGTTCCCACCTGGATGTCATTATGGGGGTTCCAATCAGAATCGAAGATGATGACAGTGTCAGCAGTGGCCAAGTTGATGCCCAGGCCCCCAGCTCGGGTGGACAGGAGGAAGCAGAATTGTTGGGCACCAGGAGCTAGGAGGTAAGAATGAGGAGGCCAAGTTTATCACTGGCTGCTAGATGCTCTGACTGTAAATTACTATATCCTAACTCAAAGTCTAAGTTTCCAGCAACCCCTCACCATTCCCCATCTTAAGGACATAGCAGAAGTTTCTCAGCCTTCCACAGCCATAGGGACCAAGGCATTTCAGTCTCACCATTAAACCGATCAATGGCCTCCTGCCTAAGGGCACCAGTGATGCCGCCATCGATGCGTTCATACTTGTAGCCTTCGTAGTCTAGGAAGTCCTCCAGAAGGTCTAACATTTTGGTCATCTAAAACAAGGGGTAGTAGGAGTCCAGAAGACCACAATAATAGCTTGGGCCTAGTTCCTCAAAGTGACATTTGACTAGAACAAATCCCCAAACCTTACACCGAAACATACCCACCCTCTCACGTTCTCAGTGACACTCACTCCATCTCCCCAGACCTCGCTGTTCTTTCAAACTCTTGATTTAAGACCATTTCTTATAAGGCACAGGTACTCGGAGACACATGAAGTGGTTTCCAAGAAACTTATAAATACTTTGAAAATCTCCAAAGTGGAGGGTACCTTTCGTCAGGATCCTAAAGGGTTGGAACTCCCTACCTGCATTCATTCACAAGGCTGTCAACCACACTAGGCTTAGGAACTGGGATGAGTGAGGCCTGCCAGGCCTTGCATTGTTTTTAAAGACAGGGACTCGCTGTTGTAGGCCTGGCTAGCCTCGAATCTATTATGTGGATGGACCAGGCTGGATTAAAGGCATGCACTACTACACCCAACCCAGGCCATCATTTTTATTTTATTGGTTTTTCCAGTGCTAAGGATCCAATCACAGCCTCATGCAAGCCAGGGCTCTACCACTGAACCATCTCTAGCCCCTTGCCCTCTTTGTCTACTGTCATACAGACGTGGAGAGCGGACGGCTCACCTGTGAGAAGATGAGCACTCTGTGTCCTTGCTCCTTCAGCTTTCGCAGCATCTTCTGCAGCAGCATGAGCTTCCCTGATGACTTAATGAGTGCCCCACCCTCATAAGCCCCACTGGGGAGTTTCGGAGACTCCTGAAAAGAGGGGAGAAGGAGAAAAGAACATACTCCTTACTCCTACTGTGCCTAGAAAGGCCAAAAGTGTAATACAGCTGCTATACTTTTCAGTTCCTACCCTTCCAAGGTCAGCACCTGGGCCCTGCAATCCAGCTCCACCCCTCTGCTCAACACAGATCCTCCCAGAGAACCAGCCACATGATTAGCTCCCTGCTCTGGTTCCTACCATAGCAGCCACAGGGAAGAGGTATGGGTGGTTACAGCACTTCTTAAGATCCATCATGATGTTGAGCAGTGACACTTGGTTCCCACCGCCTCGTGAATTCAAGGCCTCAAAATTTCGAGTTAGGATGTATTTGTAGTATTTCCTAAAGACCAGGGTAGGGATGTACAAGAGATAAGAAAGGAACACTTATTTTAATTTCCTTCTTTCTTTCCTTTCCTTTTCTTTCTTTCTTTTTTTTTTTTTTTTTTTTTTTTTTTTTTGAAACAGGATTTCTCTGTGTAGCTCTGATTATCCTGAAAATCACTCTGTAGACCAGGCTGGACTCAAACTCAGAGATCCACCTGCTTCTGCCTTCCAAATGCTGGGATTAAGAGCAAGGGACATCACTCCCAAGCAGCAACCACTTCTAATATGACACTTGGTCCCAATTCTTGGAAAGCTACTATCACCCAAACCCCA